CCCCAAAACCCCAAAACCCCAAAACCCCAAAACCCCATTCCTTTCCAAATTTTTTGAAAATTTACATTTAAGGCATTTTTTGGAGAAATTTTATTGATTTTGTACAAAACTAAAGAAATGAATTTCTTATCTAGGATTTCTTCGACCAAGAAGACTGCAACCTCATTCGGGTCTTCACTATACAAGATGTCTAACTTTAAGTTCGGCAGAGCTGTAAGTATTTCTCTGAAAAGCTATTTAGCCATTCATTGATAGACTTCAGAAATTCAATGAAGATATTCTATTGGCAGGAGGGCAAAGAAAGATAATAAGAAACGTGTCGATCATAAATTAACTGTTAGAGAGAGACTTGATCTCCTCTTTGATGAGGGTACTTTCACTGAATATGATAGGTACGTTGTTCATAAGTGTAATGATTTTGGAATAAAGAAACAGAAATTTGATACTGATAGAGTCGTTACTGGGCATGAGAAATCAATGGAAGAACTGTCTATGCTTTCTCATAAGACTTCACTATTTTCGGAGGTTCATTATCTGAAATTCTTGCACAGAAGGTCAGCAAGATCAAGAGCCAAGCTATGCTTGTTGGAGCTCGAATTATTGAAGAAAATGACTCAGGAAGTGCTAAAATTCAAGAAGGCGTACTTTCCTTGGCAAGATATGCTGAAATTTTTCAAAGAAATGTTAATTCTTCAGGAGTAATTCCTCAAGTTTTATTGATCATGGGACCATGAGCAGGAGGAGCTGTGTACTCTCCAGCCTTGACTGATTTTTGTCCTCATGGTTGAGAACACTAATTACATGTTTTTCACAGGGCCGGAAGTAGTCAAAACTGTCACTAATGAGGATGGAACCAAAGAGGATTTAGGTGGTGCTTCAGTTCATAGAACCAAAAGTAGTGTGGTCATAAGAAATTTTAAGCGATATCAGGCTATTGCTAGCACCAGGAACTTGATGTCTTACTTACCATCATCAAATGATGAGCTCCCTCCAAGAAGAGAATGGGCTCTCGAGGATGAAGCAAATCAGGCATCTCCAGATATTTTGAACAACATTATTCCAGACGATCTCAATAAACATATCATACGAAGCTGGTGATCGAAAGTGTACTTGATAGAAACGAATTCTTTGAAATTCACAAAGACTATGCTAAGAACATTGTAGTTAGATACGGATATGTAGAGAGAAGGATTTTTGGTATCGTAGCTAATCCGCCACAAGTGTTTGCATGATGCTTGGATATCGATTCTTAGATTGAAGGAGCGAAATTTGTTTGTGCATGTGATGCTTTTAATATTCGAGGAGTCATCTTTGAAGATGTCCCAGGTTTCCTCTCAGGAACTAATCAAGAGTATGGAGGGATCATTAAACATGGTGCTAAATTACTCTATGCTTTTACTGAATGTACGACTCCAAAGATCACTGATATTACTCGAAAAGGATATCGAGGAGCATTTGATGTGATGTCTTGTAAGCGACTCTCAAGAGATATGAGCTATGCTTGGCCAACTGCAGAAATTTCAGCTATGAGAGCCAAAGGAGTTGTAGAAATCATTTTTAGATGACAGAATGTTTAAGTGAACACTTCAAGCTACTAGCATACTTTAGCTAATCTGTCGGAGGATGCTGAAAATGAGCATATTGATGATATTATTGCTCCATCAACTACTAGTCAAAGAATCACAAGAGATTTAGAACTTCTCAAAAACAAGGATATGCAAAAACCATATATAAAACACGGAAACATTCCATTGTAGCCAATATTAGTCTGATTTGAACCATCTTTACTCCAATTTTTCTTCTTCTATTACCTACATCAAGATTCATTATTTTCTCAACAATTAAGTGTTTGTCTAAATTCAAATATCTTAGTCTAACAAGGGGTTTTGGGGTTTTGGGGTTTTGGGG